ACACGAGGGTATCCAACAGTCCTATCTAACGGTGTTTCTGTTTCTACCATTTCGTACTCAACTTTTGAATTAGCTCCGAGTTTTGTTTGGAAGGCACATAGTGCTGCCTTCTGTGGGCATTTAGATACTTGATGAGCTCACACTCGCTATCATTACTGTATTGGAAGAGGGAAGCTCAAACGAGCCAACTCCAACAAAAGTCTTGTGGTCAACTCAAAAACACCACAACGTGAGACACGGAAGTTAGACAAAGTATTTATCTCCACCTAGGAAGATAAATAGCGAGGTTGATGTCATATTAGAGGCAGAATTGCTTGCCACGAATGAATGTCATACGTCTGAATCCGAGCTAGCTGAATTCTACGTGCAGTTAAATGACTTACTAACAGTTAGATTTCATCCCGTTAAAATTTAGTTGTGGCTTAAATTTAGTTTTAAAGCTAGATTTGAAGTGTTCAACCTTGTCTATTCAGTTCTAGCCATTTTTCAACTCAGGTTTCTTGCTGGTTTGAGACATTTTGGCGTATTCGAGACCAAATTCAGTCCAATTAGGTTATCCACATCAATTTAACTCGATTCTTTAGTCGGTTTAATAGTGTATTTTGGTTTAGTAGTGTATTTCGGTTTAGTAGTGGATTCACTGCTTAAATGTCTACGAGCTAGATTGATTGGAATTGTTTGATGCACAAATAACACGTATCATGTGGCTTTTATTTGCGTGTTATTAATTGAAATATTATATATATATATATATATATATATATATTATGTGATACATATGCAGTCATGTATGATCGACCATGATTTTATATGGTCATTCATATGATATATAAGATACCATGAACGTGATTATGTATATGTTTTTTCGAGACACTACGAATATGAATTTGTATATGCTATATGAAAGACCATGGTTACAAATGCACGTCTCGTAATGATGAAGTAATGTAACGTATAAAAATGTTACAGTGTATCATATCACTGAACCATGAGTTTACATGCGAGACATCTTGCATGTTGTATGCTCATGCAACCATAGATTACTTCTCGAGTTATGTAATATATGGACATATACACTCACAGCATTATTTTTTTCATTGATTTTTCAGCAGTGTGAGTGTGCGCTTACCCATAGTCAAAACTAGGGAGTAGGTTAACGAGCCTACCCAATATGCCCAAGTGCATGTGTATAGACCGTATGTAGAGAACTGTTTTACATCCAACCCCTGCTCGAGAATGCAAGTAGGGCCAAATATTAATCATGAAATTAGGTCAAAACAATGATAATACGTATTATATGTGACTGCATTTCCTGACCCCATCAAAATGGTGTCACTTACTGATTATATGGGACCTATGCACAGTTGGCAGCTTCTACGACAAAGACGGTGTAGTCATGTTTTCATCAACAGGACAATATGCTAATATTTTTCGTTTCTAAATTTCACTTTAATGAGCCGTTAAAACTAATTTCTGAGGTTAGTTTTTGCACGGTTATGTTATATTTATTTAAATTCATTGATTTTAAAAAATAAAATGTTTTAAATGTTTCTTATAGATTCCGAAGTTTTAAAAGTATTTTGCTTTAATGTAATTTGAAATGTCTTACATGCATATAGTATCGGTCTTATATTTAAGACGAAAAGTAGATCGTTACAATAACTCGAGTGATATAGAATATATACCCTCGACTAAGAGGTCTAAAGTTCGTATCCAATTTCTAGTGGAACATCTTTCACAATCCCGGGAGAGATAGTTCACTAATAGACCAAAGTATAAGTAATTCATTCACATCCCGATCATGAATGTTTGGAATCCATATAAAATCGATTTATTTTCGACATCATATCCATATTTAGCATGGTTAGCAGCAAGGTTAGCCGAAAGATGGTTATCGGTTCAAGAACGCAAGGTGTACCTGTTTTTTCAGGGTAAGAAGGGGTAGAGAAAATACCTCGAGCCAATGTTTGAGTACCAGGCACTACGACATTGAAATAAATCATGCCATATTCCTAGGAACAGCTCGAACGACCTTCAACAAAGGGTACCTATACCCTTGAAATCAATACAGGTGGGTAGGTAGAGAATACCTAGGGACGTAAGAACAACTCTCTCCAAGAAACTTGGTAAAATAGCTCCATAATTTCGGGAGAAGGGGTGACTCCTCACAAAGGGGGTTGCAGTGACTTGACTCAGGCGACTGTTTACCAAAAACCCAGGTCTCCGTAAAGTCGTAAGACCATATATGGGGGCTGACGTCTGCCCAGTGCCGGAAGGCCAAGGAAGTTAGTGACCTGATGACAGGGGAACTAACGACCGAAGCCCCAAAAGATGTTCCACTAGAATCTTTCGACTGGAACGTGGAAAGGAGCAAAAACCCAAAAACAGAAGCAAAAGAGGAAATACTGCGTCGACGGCTGACTCAAGTGCCCCCGAACCGTGCGAAATGCCCTCTGAGCTCGAGTTTACCGGAGATCTTAGAGGGGCACCCAATCAAGACCGCTGTGAACATCGGGCGTAACTATAGCGGTCCCAAAAATTAGATAGGAACATGAGTCTATGGATAATATTATCACTCTTAAAGTTTAGAAATTAAAAAGAAACGCAATATTCAAAAGTTCAAATATTAAATTAGCACTATAATATAATAAATTAAAGAGAAAATGTTCATTTTATAACTTTTATGATTTTGTTCTCCACAAATTTGCTCTCAAATCTATTCATTTCCGCACGAACAAAATCGATTTCGCCATCAAATTAATCGTCCTCTAACCGTCTTCCCAACCAGTCTCCGTCAGATTGTTGTATCAATCTGCTTCCCAACCAAAATCATTTCAAATCCTTCGATTCACTTCATAACACCTTCAGTTCCCGTTCATCTCCGTGTGATTTTTCCGGTGTCGGCGATGTCGAGCTCTACCCTCGAGTCTTTTAAAGTTGAAACCAGTGATGGGGTGAAGCTCCAGACGCGGGTTTTCAAGCCAAAAGATGAGGAGGCAAGGCAAAATCTGGTGGTTGTTTTGGTCCATCCTTACTCCATTATGGGTGGTTGTCAAGGGCTTTTGAGAGGAATTGCCTGTGGGATAGCGGAGAGCGGTTACAGGGCTGTGACTTTTGATATGAGGGGTGCTGGGAAATCGTCTGGAAGGGCTTCTCTCACTGGATTTGCTGAAATTAAGGATGTTGTTGCTGTTTGTAAATGGGTTTGTGAGAATCTGTTTGTTCATCGAATTTTGTTGGTGGGTTCATCTGCAGGTATGTTGTTTTTTAGTTTCTTCTGTGAAATTTTGGTCTCGGATTGGTTGTCTGGTTTGGTGATTGCTTTGGGATATGATTGTTCTTACATATTGATTCAAATTCTTTTCAAGATCATGTTCTAAATTGCTGTCTGTTACATTTGATTTCTTTTATGGAATGAAACTCTCTGGTTGGTTGTTGTATGATATCGATTCATGGAAAAGAAGAATTTGTTCATGATCTTCTTGCTCGGAGAAAAGTAAGTGCCTGAAATGGCTGTGACTGTTTCTGTTTTATAAGCTTTATATGTGTGTATATATACATATAGACTGGTGGAATGACATTGAAGATTTTGAATGTGGAAGATGTAAGAGAGATTTCCCAGGTGATTAAATGGAATAAGGCTTGAAAATACAAATTTTAAGATGTAGTATTGTATTTGAGATCCAAAGAATCGATCAAACAAGAGAAGTTTTCACTTTCTTGTGAGATCCCACATCGGTTGGAGAGGAGAACGAAACATTCTTTATTAGGGTGTGGAAACCTCTCCTTAGCAGACGTGTTTTAGAAACCTTGAGAGAAAGCCCGAAGAGGACACTATCTGCTTTCTTGTGAGATCCCACATCGGTTGGAGAGGAGAACGAAACATTCTTTATCAGGGTATGGAAACCTTTCCTTAGCAGACGTGTTTTAGAAATCTTGCGGGAAAGCCCAAAGAGGACACTATTTGCTTTCTTGTGAGATCCCACATCAGTTGGAGAGAAGAACGAAACATTCTTTATCAGGGTATGGAAACCTCTCCTTAGCAGACGTGTTTTAAAAACCCTGAGAGAAAGCTCGAAGAGGACACTATCTGCTAGCAGTAGGTTTGTGCCGTTCAAAAGAATTGATCAAATAGGAAGCTTTCCTTTTAAGACATAATCTTAAGGCTTGCTAATCGTGGAACTCACCAAAACTAGGCTAGCAAGTGTCCTTTTAGTTCAGTGACGATGTTGCTTCAGTTATCTATATGGTCTGGTTTCCTCGCATATGAACTGTCCAGGACGAAACCCGTTCGAGATAAAATAATGCCACATCTTGGAAGAGGATCTACACCCTTTTGCTTTCTCATTTTACAATGTCAAACCTGCTACTATCATATATTAGGCACATCATAGACAATGGGGAGAAATATAGTTTCAAAGCAAGACTAAGGGTGGGATTGAGGGAGGGGGATGATGCATCTTACAAAACTTGGCCCAAGAACATTATTTCCTATTACTTTGTGTCCATTGCAGGGGCCCCTATTGCAGGCTCATCTGTGGATTTGATAGAACAAGTGGTAGGCTATGTTAGCCTTGGCTACCCCTTTGGCCTTGCTGCCTCAATTCTTTTTGGAAGACACCACAATGCTATTTTACGGTCTCCAAAACCGAAACTTTTCGTGATGGGCACACGGGATGGTTTTACGAGCGTGAAGCAATTGCAGAATAAGTTAAAATCTGCAGCAGGACGTGTTGAATCACATCTAGTACAAGGCGCGAGCCATTTTGAAATGGAAGGCCTTGCATATGACTCTCAAATGGTGGATATTATCCTTCATTTTCTTGCTTCTTTGTAGGATAGGATAATACCATCAATTTTATTCAGAATATTTGTGTATTAGGCTTTGTGATATTAACTCCTTGTGCGTTGTGAAGGAAATTCATAGATTTTGCCTCAACAAATTCTGTCATAGTGTTGAATATGTATTGATACAACAGCATATATGAGAGGCAGGGAGCTACTAATCTACAAGAGATTCTATTGACTGTAGAATAAGTTTTACACAGAATATTTCTACTGAAGTTAAGCTAGGGATCAAAATAAAACAAGAACTCTTAGTACAATCAATAAACAAAAGGCAAGGCATCAGTAACTGCATGGTTGGTTTGAAAACGCCACAACGGAGCGAGCATGCTGCTGAGTTTTCCATTCAACAAAATCGTTTCATCACCGTTGTCATCGTCGATCATTGGCAGGCCTGCTGCAGGTTTAAGCATTTTGATTCTTTGCCATTTCGGAGCTTCGGCCACTTGATCGTCATACACGAACCATTGATTGTCCTTGAGAATATGGTTCTCTCCCATCTGCTTGAATCCCAAAAAATAAATGACAAAACGAGGAAGAAACATCGCCTTCTCATAACAAGTAACCTAATTTAACCTTTGTTATTTCAACTTAGATAAAGAAAAACAAAGTATATTGAGATTGATGTGATGAAATGGTGCCATTCAAGTTGCAAGTTCAATAATCAGATGAGTTTTTTTACTCGTTCAAGTTGCTAATGTTTAACCAAATACATTGACAACAATACAGAACTAATGCAATATCATTTAATTTATCAACTGCACACCAGTAAGCATATGTTTAATTAGTTATTACCACTTTCACCATCTGACGCATCTTCGAGCCTTGCAATCGTGTCGACAAGGGATTGCTCATGGTCCTGCATTTGTATAGATTCAGATTTAGTTGCATAAATAAACACATATAGCGCAACATTAAGGTCGAGATCGGACAGTTCATACTTTCAGCACTTTCTTAGCCTTTTCAATCTCCATGGGATCTGGATTATTAGCACCAAATACTTTTTCCACCTGCTTGAACATCTCCATCAAGGAAAACAAAGTTAGCCAAAATGAATGTTCACAATAACTTCACAGATGATATGAAATCATATTAGATCCGGCATACCTCCTTAATCAGCGTGTCTGTGTGAAGTATTTCAATATCACCCATAGCCTGCTTCCGAGATCCATTATGAGCTACGGGCAAGTCTTTCCTTGATTGACCCTTCGTGGTTCCTCTACCCTTTCCACCAGCAGCAACTGCACCGCCTCGTGTCATGGACTTCTTACTGCCCCTCCCGTGCCCAGGGCGTGCGCCACTGCGAGATAATACCGAATCCTCTCTTTCCCATCTAATATCTTCAAGAGAAATCTAACAGGAAGGATGTATAAACAATTCATAAGTGACAATATTCCAATTCTGATCACGACTTCCAATAGAAATATGACAACTGAGTATATGGTCCCCCATTTCATCATTCAATTAATAGTCCTGATCTCTAAGTGAAAAATGAAGCCACATTTTTTCAGATCATTTGGTTTATAATCAACAGCAATGACTGTTGGTGGTTCAATTTGAGCATAAGCTGTACAAATTCTTGAACAGCTGTATATAGATCACAAGCAGTAAACCAGCAAGATCTCGAGCAAGTATCTATTATAAGGTTGGAAGACAGTTAACTCTAAAAGATTCCACTCTAAATCACGAGTCCTACAGAGACGTGACATCATTACTGCTGCATAAATTATCTTCCAGGTGCAAGTTTGATCTAAGAGCTTAAAATTATGCACCAGAATACATTACAAGAATGTATAATGTTTGTCATTACTTCACCTTCACCAGTAAACAACTGTTACAAGAACAAACCAAACAGAACCCATTCTATAATGAAGCAATCGAAGTACAAGCTCGGATTGTCTATCACATAGAATATTGCAATCTGGTTATAAACATCCTACTGATCACGACATCTATAATGTTTAACTCTAACCTAGGTCCAAGCTGAGGAAATATAAAGTTGATCTCAAAAATAAACTAAACAAAATCCAAAATGCTTCTCATTTGTCATCTTGAATATGTGAAGAGCAATTCTTTCAATAAAAGTAACATTCTTGAGAATAATATGCGAACAAAGGGAAATCTAGCAAGCCCCTTATTTATTTATTCATTTTGAGGGTAGGGCGGAATACCTCTTTAAGGTTGACCCATTCCCATGTCTCGTGTGCTGTATTAATATCGTACACCAAAGCATGACGGCCCTTGTCCCAAATAAGGATATGTGAGATCAAGGAGAACCAACGTTTAGAGTAAAACCAAATCAGTAATAGAACAAACCTCGGCATGGTTATAATCAGTTATAACAGCCTCATAGAAACTGTTGTCTTCAGGCCATCTAGTCCAAACTTTCCGTCCAATTAATGGTTCGTGGGTCGCTGCTTCAGCATTTTCATTTGAAGCAAAGGCTCCTAAAGAACCTCGATTATTCACTTGGCCACTTCTGGACTTCAAAACAAGTGCTGCAATTAATACAATGGACTGACCAGATAATAAAGGATAAATAAAAACTAAACAGAGAAAAATTACTCTAAATTCTTCAACAGGTACAAGTACAAATTATAAAACTTACTGATTTTGTCTTTGTAGTCCTAGCTCCAGGGGGTGGACCACGTCTTACAGCTGATGACGATGGTTGCGTACCAGTGGGTATTGCAGAAGTAGGTGCACCTTGGGATGTTTTCTGTTTCTTCCGTGATGCTGAGGCAGTGGGGCTCGGTACGAGATCGGCCATTGGTTGATCAGAATTGAGCTTTCCAGGTTGGAGTCCATTTGTTGTTCTCCATTCCCTAAGAGCATTAATCATAAGAATAAATTACAAAATAGCATGATCCATACCAGCTGTTTTAAGTAGCAGTACAGCACAAGCTATACCATATGCAAAATAAACGATCATGAATAATCAAACCTTATTCTTTTGATGACATCGTCTGCATTTACCCTCGACAAAAGTTTTCTGTGTTCCTCATCTGATACTCTCAATTCCTTTCTTAATTCTGTTATTAAACTTTCTTTCTCCTGACAAGTTAAGATTGTAAGGAATCAGAAAGCTGGGCATAAAAATTAATTTGATGAATGCAAAGAACAAACAATTAGAGAAAAAGATACCCATGTAATTGCATCGGATTGAGCTTTAAAAGCACGCAGGACTGAACTATATGCTTCCTGCTCGATTTGGTGGATCTGCATTTCCATATCACCAAGCATCCTAGGTAACGTAGAAGAATTTATCGGTGCAGATCTTCCATTCCCAGCAGGAACTCCACCCCTTTGAAATCTATTTTGATGAGGAGGAGGAAGGTCGTCGTCTGTTCCTGTAGTTGTTTTACACCATAAAGTCTTAAATCTAGAAGAAGAAATCTCCAGATGAATGCTGCCATTCTAGGAAGCATATATTAAACAAACAAAATCCTCCAAACAAGTTCATAAGGCTCCTTCCATACTGTCTTACAGGCAGTCGCTTATTACGCACGAACACCGAATTTAAACAGAATATAAATGTCAATTCATTACCCATTATAAAACTAGAATAGTTCTTAGCTAGTGAATACAAAGACATAACTAGAGAAAATGAAGCTAAATTAAACGAGAGAAAGGAGAAAGTTCATATAGCCAAAGGGAAATATTTATATTGACACAACAGAATGGATCACAAGAAAGACTTATTTCATTCATTTTAACAAGTTAGCACAAGACTCCATTTGGTGAAAAAATTCTCACTAAAACATAGCATGGCAAGAAGGCACAATCGAGTCTACCGGGTTGCCAGGAAAAAATGCTACTGTAATTTACAAGTAAGAAAGGCCTAATGGACAGAAAAAAAATAACTTTAACCCTGAATGACTAAGGCTCCCATTGATAACCATTTCGTTTTTACTTTTCTATCTTTGAAAATTGTACTTATTGTACTTATTTCTTCACAATTCTTCCCTCTTAAAGAAAACCTGGATTCTATGCCAAATTCTAACCATAAAAGTATGTAATGTTCTTGTTTTTATGTTTGAATCCAAATTCTAACCACAAAAATAAGTATGGAATCCAAAATCTAAACATAAAAATAAGTATATAAAATGTTCTTGTTTTTATGTTTCAAAACTTGGCATGAATTTGGATAACTTTTGTTAGGAAGTAGATAAGAAAATAAAGGAACTCAAGTAGTATCTATGAGCTTAATTCTCCAAACTCAAAAAACAATAACCAAATGGGCCTGAACTTAGAAGTGCCTAGGAACAGCCACCGGAGGTAAAGCAAGCAACAAAAAGCATAATAAATGGGGAAAAAATCAACATACAGCCACTCACTTCCATTATAAAATTCGTTTCTAAATGAACTTATCAGCTAAAAGTACTGGAAGTGGATGAAATACTTAAAACAACGGGATAAAACTAGCCCTTATCAAGAGTAGAGCATTATTCAGAAGGCAAACTATTGCTATTGAACCCTAGAAAACCCTTCAAAAGTTCAAAACCAATCTTTTCAATTTACTCACCGCTGCTATCCGACGGTTCATACTCCATGGGAAGTTCCTCCCACCCAAATCAACGATAAACCACACGAACCCACGAACAAAAAGCAACTTCACGACAAACCCAACTCTTAAAACGCGGTAAAATTTCTCAGGATTCAACGGGAACACCGCAAACCCAACACGGAACCTTGCAGAATATGGCCCCAACTCCAAGCTCAAGCGCCACCCATGGAAGTCCAAGAAGCCAAATTTGCAGACCCAACACGGATCGAGTGAGAATCAAGACTCGATTCGCTCGGAAAAGTTCAGTCGACGGCAAAAGAATTTCAGGCAATAAAATACGAATTTGACACAACTAGGGATTGGGAATTCAGAGTTCGATTTTTCTTCGCGTTTTCTTGAGAGGAGGCTTGAAGAAGGTGTGAAAGATGAACGAGACGAGGGAAGCCGTTCAGGGTTGGGAGGGAAGGCGGACTTGAAATCGATTATTGTCTCCAATCCGTCCATTTTGTTTTCCCGTTAATAACTTCTTTCAAGTCCGTCTAATTATTTAAAAATTAACATTATGTGAATATCATCGTTTAATATTAATTTGAATTTAATTCAACCGATTAAAAATTCATTCCTAACAAATGTTATTATTGAATGAACTATACTCAAGTGGATAATAATATCGTCTCTAATATTAATTAATTAATTGTAAATCAAAACGATTCTTAAAGTTAAACTTCAAACACATTTAAATTTAAAGAATTGATTATAAATAAATAATTTAAAATCTTCATTTTCATGAACGATTGTTGTCTTAGACAGTTCGACATAGTCAAACGTAGAGTAAAAGTTCTTCAATGCCAATATGGTGTTTGAAAGTCCAAATCTATATATTTTGGCTCATATTGAACCGATTACTGTAGGTTTCGATGGAAATTCTAGGCTTTTGGTAAATATTCTATTTAACCTGTAGGGTCGAGGCTCTATGATGACCTAGCTTGAATGAAGCAAGGACTCTCCATTTAGACCGAAGAATTAAGAAGAGAGCGGGGGAGACTTATTTCCATGAACTAAATAGAATAGATGAGGGAGATTATATTATTTGTCCATGTCCTTACCCTAGTCCGTTTTTTTTTCAATATAAATATATCTATATCTATATATAGATCAAAGCTAAGACACAAGACCCATTTCTCCAAACGGTCTTGGTGCGGAAGAGTAATTTTGATGGATCATATTTAATTTATTTGAACTCAAACCCAAATATGATGACTCAGTTTGATAAAGCTAGATTTACCTAATCATATGACCGTAATGAATACCCTCGAAGTTATCTAGGTTTACCATTTTTTTTGTCTTCAATTATAATTTAAGACATATGTCAACGTGTAATTGGCCCTAAATTCAATATATTTTTTTTTAATTTCATCATTAACTTTGAAAAACAATGTGACAATTTGTGATTGACCAAAATTTTTCGTTCACGTTGTAAATATGAGCAAACCTTATTATTAGAATATATTTATATAGCCCTAATGTAACGCCCTAGATCTACCGCTAGCAGATATTTATATAGCCTTATAAATGGCGGTTTGTTCTCCTCCCCAACTAATGTGGGACATCACAGTCTACCCCCTTCAGGGCCCAGCGTCCTTGCTGGCACTCTTTCCTTCCTCCAATCGATGTGGGACCGCCCCCCAAATTCACCTCCCTTTAGGGTCCAGCGTCCTTACTGGCACACCGCCTCGTGTCTATCCCCCTTCGGGGAACAGCGAGAAGACTGGCACATCGTCCAGTGTCTGGCTCTAATACCATTTGTAATGGCCCAGATCCACTGCTAGCAGATATTGTCCTCTTTGGGCTTTCCCTTTCGTGCTTCCCCTCAAGGCTTTAAAACGCGTCTGCTAGGTGAAGGTTTCCACACTCTTATAAGTGGTGGTTTGTTCTCCTCCCCAACCTTCTCCTCCCCGACCTTAGCTTAGTTGGTATCAGAGCCAGGTTATAAATCTTGTAGACTAGCCTACTAAGTAGGCTTGACATGTTCCACGGTCCAATTGTCGATGCTCCATCGTTGTCAGGTACACCTTGCGTAGGAAGAGGGAAGGACGGATATCCTTGTGATATATTTAATGTGGTTGGCCTTAAATATTGAATGTCATGATACTGTATGATTTTATGTTGTGATGTGATCTTGTGTCAATGCATGTCTTTACGTTACCACCTTTATGTTTTCTTTTCCTTGAATTATATAGTATAATGTAAGGAATGTTATAAGTAAATCATAGACTTAGATAAAATCACTTTCTTGGTTTCTAGAACCATGCCACACAGAGGGCGTAGAAGAGGTAGAAGAGGGAGAGGACGACCTCACATTAGGAGTGGGGAAGAAGAGAAGCCGAAAGAAGCTCTTCCCAAGAAGGGTCGACTACTGGACCCTATGCGTTTGAACCACTTCCTGAATACGAACCTCCCCCACAAGTTGTACCCCCTCCTAAATACGCACCTTCCCCACAGGCTGTACCCCCTCCTGAATACGCACCTCCCCCACAAGCTGCACCCCCTCTAAAAAACGCACTGCCCCCTCAAGCTGCACCACAAGCCGGGTTAGACCTCGCCACAAGATTAATGTTGGAGTCACTCCAAACGACAATGCAAACAATGCTGGCCACACAACAGGCCACGTTGTTAGCTACGCAACAAGTCGCAGCAATGATGGCCACGCAACCCGCCAACGCGACGGTCACACAATCGGTGGATGCGATAGCTACACAACCGGCCAAAAACCTACAACCGGACAGGGGGGCGAGTTGGTTGAAAGACTCAAGCGATATAATCCCCGTCCATTTGTCGGTTCAAAGGAAGATCCTACAGTAGCTCAGATGTGGATCGCAAACATGAAAATGACCTTTGAATCAATGAGATGCCCTGATGAACATAAAGTATCGTGTGCGCATATGTACTGCAAAAAGACGCAGAAGTGTGGTGGGTGAATAATAAACAGAGTATCAACCCGAGAGGGGGATCTTCGTGGGAAGCCTTTAAGGAAGCCTTCCTGAAGTATTACTATCCAAAGGAAACCTGTATAAAGAAACAACAAGAATTTAACCACTTAACCCAAGGCGAACGCACGGTGGATCAGTATGATCAGGAATTCATGAGATTAAGAAGGTTCGCAACGTCACTAGCAGATACTGAAAAGAAAGAGATGGGGAAATTTGTGTTGGGGTTGAACCCGAAGGCCTGTCGCATGTTGGAGGCTTTTAACCCGAAAACTTACGAAGAGGCCCTGAGGATGAGCAAGGCCCTGGAGGAACCTCCGGAGAAGAAAAACCCGGAGCCAATGGTTGTCATAGGAAAGAAACTCCCTATCGAGGTCGGACCCACAGAATTCCAACCGCCACTCTAGAGACCTCGACATTAAAACAGGCCACCTGCTCCACCCTTAGTAGCCCGATACCTAGTACCGGAAAAACCCCTGTGCCACGACTGTGGAAAACAACATGGTGGCAAATGTTTGGTAGGCTCCGGTGTGTGTTATCACTGCGGTCGTGCAAGTCACGTGGCCAGAGCTTGCCCTACAAGGGGCACGGGAAACCCAAGGGAACCCCTTAGAGGACCCGTCATTCGAGAACGCGCCATACAAACCCGCCCACAGACCAGGGCATATGCAATGACCAGTAAAGAGGCAAAAACGTCTTGAACCGTGGTGACAGGTACGCTTTCTATACAAGGACACTTTGCATTGACGTTGTTTGATTCGGGTTCTACCAATTTGTTTGTTTCTTTACCATTTGTTAGACAAGCAGGGTTCGTAGTAGAATCCTTAATGCATGTATTGTAGGTCGGTACCCAGCAAGGGTAGACCTAGTCATGAAAAATAGAGTAAAAGACAGACAAGTGGTAATAACTGGACGAACCATTCACGTAGGCCTAAAAGTAGTAGATATGACGGATTTTGACGTCATACTAGGAATGGACTGGCTAGCCGAAAACTTTGTTAGCATAGACTGCCATAAGAAAGAAGTGGTATTCACACCTCCAAACGCTTCTCCTCACCGGTGAGCCTGATGAGTCGACCAATTCCTCCACCCCCTTTCCTTCTCTTGACTCCAACTCTTTTTTGATAGGGGAGACAACCCACACTGAACACCAAGCCAATTTCACCTAAGAAGATGTGCAACTTACCTTTTTAAGTTTAAAGGAACCTTCACAGGTACCACCCAAAAATAATATCGATGATGAAAGCGAGACGCCCGGTACAACAAGGTGGGTGGGCGATTCTAGCCTGTGCAGTAAACACCAAAGGAAAAGAGAAAACAATAGATACAGTACCCATAGTAAACGAATTCACTGATGTCTTCCCGGAGGACCTCCCCAAAATCCCTCTATCGCAAGTGGTAGACTTGGAAATAGAACTAGAACCAGGAACAAGACCCATCTCTAAAGTCCCATACCGCATGGCCCCGTAGAACTAAAAGAACTTAAATCACAACTGCAAGATCTATTAGATAAAGGCTTTATTCGACCTAGTGTATCCCCTTAAGGTGCGCCAGTGTTGTTTGTTAAAAAGAAAGATGGATCTATGCGTCTATGCATTGACTATAGAGAATTAAATAAGAGAACGGTAAAGAACAAATATCCTTTACCCCGCATCGAAGACCTATTTGAATAACTTTGAGAGGCAATAATGTTTTCCAAAATAGACCTTCGATCAGGATACCATCAAATTAAGATTAAAAATGAGGATATACCGAAAACATCCTTTCGAACCAGATATGGTCACTATGGGTTTGTGGTAATGTCCTTTGGCCTTACCAACGCCGCAGCGATGTTCATGGAATTAATGAACCGAGTATTTAAGGAGTGCTTAGACTCGTTTGTGATTGTGTTCATAGACAACATCTTGATATACTTGAAAACGGACCTAGAACAGAAAGAGCACCTCCAAAAAGCCCTATCTGTCTTAAGGGAGAACAAGTTGTATGCCAAATTCTCGAAATGCGAATTTTGGCTACGACAGGTTTTGTTCTTGGGATACATAGTGTCTAAAGACGGAATTATAGTAGATCCCACCAAGATAGAAGCCATCACAAAATGGAAACACCCAGCTACGGTCACCGAGATACGAAGTTTCTTGGGATTGGCGGGTTACTATCAAAGGTTTGTCCAAGACTTTGCTAGAATAGCCTCGTCTCTCACCCAATTGACAAACGAAGGCGTACTTTTCGTATGGAACGATACTTGTGAGGCCAGCTTTCAGGAACTAAAACAAAGACTAGTGTCCGCCCCAGTGCTCACGGTTCCAGAAAGCTCTGTGGGATACGTGATTTACAGTGATGCATCCAAAAAAGGACTGAGTTGTGTACTGATGCAACATGGCAAGGTTATTGCGTACGCGTCACGCCAATTAAAGGATTATAAGAAAAACTATCCTACACATGATTTGGAGTTGGCGGCGGTGGTGTTCACGTTAAAAATTTGGCGACACTACCTGTATGGTGAA